TGTGCTGGTTGATGGGGAATTTTACAGTTTGTCTCAATTAAATGCTGATTGGGTTTCAATTTTCAATTTGATCTTCTGTTTCTTGAACTTACCATCCAGATACTCTTGGAAGAATTTTTAGAGGCATTTGTGGTAACATCAGTATTTGAATTAATGACACAGTATTGATTAGAGATTGAAAAATTAGTCATTAAATTATTATGCATGGGGAGATTGAAGTATGCACAAGTCATTAGAGGAATGGTGAACTTTTAGCAGAGAAGGCATGTAATAAGGAAAAACTCAGTTCCCTGTGGGGAAATGAATCCAGACAGTCACTTTTGTACATGGTAGGTTTGCCATCCTATATCTGTCGAGCTACACAGAACTTTTCATTGAGCAAGGCCAATAAAATGAATATATATATATTTAACAAATAGATTCCAAGTTGCTGTGCGTCTGTTCAGTAATAGACTACAGATGACATCAAAATGTGGTAAGAACAAAAAAGTGGCACACAAGGCACAACCAAGTGCATCACTGATGTTCTTACCACATTTTGACGTCCTCTGTGATCTATTACTGAACAGATGCATGGCAACTTGGAATCTATTTGTTTTATATAATAAAGAATTAAAAAATGATGATGTCATCTATACGTCTGTCCTCCAATAGATCATAAGTGAGAACCAATCAGAATGCGTGCATAACTGAGTTTATTATATAAATAATTATATATATCAACAATTATTGTTTGTTTTAGGGCTGTTTTTCTTCATGTTCCTGTTTTATGCTTTGGCACTGACTGGATTTATCCTCTCATTTGTCTTTTTCACGCAGGTCAGTCACAATTGTTAAAATGATTTGTCTGGGGAAAATGATTTGAATATTGATACTGTCATTCTTGTAGTTGGGTAATTTAGTGTTATCAAATGAGTTGAAAACGAATATTGGCCACCATTAAGAGTTTAAAGGCTGACGTTTCGAGCATTAGCCCTTCGTCAGAACGATTGGTCAAAGAACCAATCACTCAGATGAAAGGCTAACGCTCGTAAATTGCAGTGCCTTCAATAACACCCGCACCCGCCAGAACTCCGGCAGGTATTCTGTTGTGAATCGCCGGGTTTACTTTGCCACGTCCAAGTCAAATTAACAGAACAAAAAGGTAAATAAATAACATAGAAGGTATCAGTCAGATTGGCCCTGGAGTATTCACCCCTGGTTATTTTTTAGAATTCTATAACCTTTGTTTGTTAGATTCATTCTTTCACTGGCAGCTTTCTTTCTCTGCTTCTTTCGCGTGTTCTATAAAAGTTAATCACACTCCAAGTAGAAGTACACATCGTTGGTTACCTAAATAATTTTCAAAAAAATTTGTGCCGAACTAAAATCATTATATACTTTTATATAAATAAAACAACAGCAGTTCTTCTCAACTGCTGGTTAGAAAACAAACTTGAAAATCAAAATCAGTGAAAACAGCTCGCTTGTTGATAGCACAGGTAAATCAAATTTGAAATTTTTTGGCATAGATGTTGACCTTGCTTAAAGACGCTTAACCTAGGCTTGGCTGTGATGAGAACTACAAAGAGGCTATTAACCCTTTCACTCCCAAGATCTAATTAGTAATTCTCCTTACTATCTGCCATACAATTCTTATGATGTTAGTTCAGAAAATTTGGTATTGGATGAACTAATAATCCCATGATTGATATTCTCCCCTATTCTCATCACCTGCCTGCTTGATATTGTATTGACATTGCAAGGAGAAATTCTGTCTTGGTCACTTGTGAGAGTGAAAGGGTTAAACACTTAGCGTCTAAACTTTTATATATAAAAAAAAAGCCGCATTTGCTGAAAAATCGAAGAGGACATTGTTCTACGCTAAAGGCCCGTGTAACCGGTTTCAACATTTGACCAACATTTGACCAACATTCGTTCAACAAAAGTTGAACGGATGTTGGGCAAATGTTGAAATCGTCTCAACAGGCCATTCAACATTTTCGAGAACAAAGGAAGAATTGAATCAATGTTGAATGAAAGTTTAAACCGATTTAAACTTGATTCAACACGCTTTCAACAAGCTTTCAACATTTTTTACGTTTTCAACAATGTTGGACGACCTGTTCAAACGCACCGAATATTTGGTTCTACAAAGTGTTGAATGCATGTTCAAGCAAATGTTGAAACTGCTTTAGCACAACGATTGTTTAGGATCCGATATGGAACACGAGCAGTGGGAACAGCTAAAATCAATTGGCTGATTGATTTAATTCAATTAATTTATGTAAACATTTAAGCGAACAATTCTGAGAATAGAATAATCCTGAGGTTTTTACAGGAAATAAACCTGGTGGAATTCACTGCCGCAAATCTTTAATTTCACCAAGTAACAAAAAA